TCACAAGTGTAGACTGTACATAAAATTTTTCAATATAGCCCATCTGAAAGCCCACAAAATTTGCTACATAAAACACTTAATCCTATCCTGGAGAAAAATTCTATCTTCGAGGAGAATAGGGTTAAATTTAAAAATAGATTTTCTAATAGATATTTAATCAGGAATACTAGTGCTAATCTCAATATTTTAGCACACTACAATATTATAAAAAATATCACAATGATAATATATCAATACCATATCAAACTCGGTAAAAACAGGGTGGACGTATCATTATTGGACACACTGTATAAAGATGTAGTTAGATAACAATTAAAAAATATAATACCCGATTTGATAATAACAGACACCGGAGCAGTAGCCATTAAAAATTTTAAAATTTAATTTGACTTTCATTGGAACGCGCTCTGAAATGCAAACAGCATTGAGTCATGAACGCTTCAGAAGTGAGAACCCATGAAAAAATTTTTAAAGCTAAAAGAATGTGCTGACATTAGATATTCTGTCGGTTTGTGTTTTTCCAATAATTAGTTTGGTCATAAATGCACTATTTATAGTTTGAAAATTAATTACATAAAAATTGAAAATAATAAAAGACTTAAAATATCTTGAAGAATTACTCTGAATTAAATGCCGTAACAATGTCGAAACAATTTAAATTCAGTAATTTTAAAGATGATCTACATTTATCGTACCAAAAAATATATCAGTCAATATTTAGAATTCCTTCCAATCAGATATGTACATTAAATATAAAATATACATTTTAAGCATAAATTTAAACAGATGACAAACTACTAATTAAAAATTTAAAAAATTATCGTTAATTTAAAATTTTTGATATAAATAAATTAGATTAACAATTTAAATTTAATTTCGAATTTAAGCATTAGATAAATCGGTAAAAATCAATCTTTTCAATATGTTTCTTAAAAATTATTATGGATATTACAAAAACAGTACATATGGCTTAAACGAAAGTACTTATATTTTCAAGTATTAAGAGTCTATATCTCATCTAGTTGACAAGGGATACCCCGACTCAGGAGGTTTAACAGGAAATAAGAAGAGGATTAGCAATAGTATTTTTCAAAAATGGACTAACAATAAGATTAGATTTAAGAGAATAGTTATGAAAAATGAAAAAACCGGGTAAAATAGATTAAAAGATTAAAACGAAAAATAATCAAGTTTTTACTATTTAATAACGTAAATAATTAGAATATTTTTGAATAATATTCAATTAATTATTAAAAATGTAAATTCATCAAAGAAAATAAAATAAATAGAAAAATAAAAAATAATATTATTACAAAAATTAACTACGTAATTAAACCTAATCAATCATTAAAATTATTAATAAAATTTAATTTTTAATTAAATAACTGCCAACTGTCAAATGTGAAAGTCCTACTATTAAATCATGTATATATTAAATATATAATAAATATGTATTTATAATTTTATTTCATTTATTATTCTTAGTGGAAAAAAATCTAATAAAACAGATAACTTTATCAAAATGTTCCAACTCCTGTGATTTTTAATAAATCATATGACAAAAAATATGACAAAAAATGAACACAAAAACATATGTTAAATATATTTAATTAAAATACATACTGCCAACTGTTCAAACCTAGATATGCCTATGGTTAAACAAAGCATAAATTATATTTCTTAATTCAAAAAACTTTATTTGAATAAAATTAATAAAGTATACAAATCAAAAATAATGTTGATTTTTAACTGCTTTTCTGAAAATATATTTATAAATTATAAAATTACAAAACATAGTTCACGAAAATTAGTTACTTGAAAAATCTTTAAATTATGAAGTATTCTTGCCAGGCTAATTGGTTTTTTGAAAAATAATTTTGATGGCCTGACAACATTAATCAAGAGGGAGGAAGTATTTTTTTATTAATATTTAACATAAAGCTGATGAATATTTTATTAACGAAATTCCCTAATAAATTTTAAATTTTAAAAATAGTAATCTATCTAATTATAGTGTTTTATTAAAGATAAAACTAATGCTGAAGTTAAACTGAAATTTATTTTATGATAAAAGATAAACTAATGAAATATCATGCTTCATCCGACATAATATTACATTATATTTATCGATTAATTACATAATAATTAAAAATGTATTTAATCTTCTAAATCTTTGTTGTTAGATTATTATTGAATTGTTAAATATTAAGTTTAAGTTAGTTAAATTTACGTGACATTTGATAATAACTACCTATATTAGATTTTATATTAGAATATATTAGATCAAGGTACATGAAACTTTAAAAATTTCTTATTATTATCCACTAAATAATTTAATATATAAAAATATCTAGAAATATAAAAATATCTAGAAAAAAATATAAAAATATCTAGAAAAAGATAGTCTTTAATTGTAAAATCGATGAGACAGAAGTTGGGCGCTCCCTAATTTTACAAGCTCATTGAGTGTTATTTTAAAGAAAACTGAGGCTTTAGGTGCTACCAACAGAAGTATAAAGATGATTTTTAAATGTATTTGAAAATTAATTAAATTTAATTCTTAAAGTTAAATAATTCAATAAAATAAATGAACACTGTAAAATAATATCCAAAGAATTTGTTATAAATTTGATATTTAAAACTAAATAATAGATAAAATAAATTTGAAATACTTTCAAAAAATAGAGTGAAAATTTAGTTCGAGGAGCCTAGTTTAGAAGCTAATTTAGATGAGCATTTTAGAAGACTTTACTGAAATGAATAATCTAGAGCAGCCTAATTTAGAAGGTGAAAGGGGTATAAAATGTGAAATTAATCAATTGAAGCAACATCATCTAAAAAATGATTGAAATGTTAAAGGGAATAAAAGAAAAATTATTCCCTCTAAATCGGAATGCAATAATACTATCGAATTTAATTAAGAAGATGGTACAATAAGTATTAAAGAAGTAAATACTAACAAATTTTTAATATAAAGACTGATAAATTTTATGAGTGTTAAAAAAGAAAACATAAAATAACAGTTCATATATGATTTATTAAAGTTTAAAATTTTATTTGAAAATAATTAAATTTGTAATATTAGAAAATTGAAACTTACATAATTGAAAACCTAGGCAAACAAGCCGAGACCTGTTTTTGACATTAAGCAAGGAGCTAAGAAAAAGTTATATACCTGCAACACGTTTCAAATTAAACCCCGGGTTAAATCCGCATGGTAAATTCGGTACAATAAATTAGCATTTTTACCCCGCGTTGAGGGTTATTTAACCCTGCGGGTTAGCCAGCTATCTGACTCTAATTTTTTAGCTTATTTATGAATAGTTCACATAAAGTAAAACAATACTTAAAATATTGTAAAATTTTGCTTCAACCTTTTCATCAATTGGGTCTTCCTCCACTAGCGAAAAGCTTGAAGCACAAATTACAACCATTAAACCTACAATATAATTATTGGTAAGAAAGAAGCAAGGTAAACCTGAAAAGCATTTCCGCAAATGGAACCAGTAATTCCCAAGCCAAGAGCCTCTGCAGTAATAGTGTTGTGCTAAGCCTGACACCGGTGTCGAATTTTACGTCACAAAGTATGATCAATTATTATTTAATTTATTTAAATTAATTTATAAAAATTTTGGAAATAGAGACGAGATATCAATAATCGATTATTTTATAAATATAATCACAAAATATAATTAGTTTATGTTTAATCCTTTTATTTATTCTATGGGAATATATCATTCTATACTTGTTATAATCACAAATATAATAATGATAATAAATTATTTCTTAAGCTTGCTAAACTTTACAAAAAAAATAAAGCAAAATAAATTAATAATTATAACGTAAATTGATAAAAATTGATTTTTTTTAATCTGCCATTCCATCTATATTTATCTTTTCTAATTCTATCTATTTTAAAAAATATTATTTGTAAGATAATATAACCATTTTATAATAGTTAAACTTCTTTTCATAGCATAATATTCATTTCGTTCAATAGCATAATAATTGAATCAAAAAGCATGTCATTTTCTAGGACTTCATATCCAATTACTATCTAATTTTACAATAGTCTCTTCCATTATTATATATATTTTTTATTATTATATATACATTTTTTAATAAGTTATTTCACTGTTACACCGAAAAATATTATGACAGATAGCTCGCAAAAGAAGTTATAGAGAAGAACACAACCTTCGAATCTTCACAAAGTTGAATCAATCGACCAAGTATCCAAGTGCACAAATACCGATGTTTTAATGCGAATTGGGAAAAAAAACTTAATCTTCAAGAAATAAAATTTTTAAAAACTCCTATTCGATAGCAAAACTAATAATTAGGGCATTGCCTTAATAAATAATTTATGAAAAATAAATAAAAAAATTAAATAAACTTTTGCATAAAATATAAAATTAAAGAATACCTAATTACGCCAATAGACGTAAATAGTTTTTTGGACTTCATCCATTATTAAATTAAAAATTTAAAAAATAATAAAAAAATTTTGTACTAAGAGATCAATTAATGTTTCCTACCATGAGTTATCAAATAAATATTAAAAATTTTTTAAATAGATATTGAGAATATAATTAGTAAAGATATTTGAAAGATATTTGTTACTTAAATAATATATTTAAATTATGATATTAAAAATAATCTAAGTCTTATGAAAAAAATATGCAAAAAGACATGTCAGATTATTCAAACAAAAATAAACACTAAAATTCAAAGTTTTGTTATAATTTTAAATACAGTGTATTTTCAGTTTATTTCTACAACTTATTATATGATTAGATTAATTAAGGATTTTGATTTGTACGTTACTATAAATGAGCCATGCTATTACAATGAGTCATGAATTAAAAAATTAAATAAAGTTTATAATTCGAATTTTATTATTTTAATCTTGCATATGCATATAAAATATGACAAATTAAATAATATTAAATAAATTTAACAATTACGAAATCAATTCAATGACTTTTCCAATGTTATTATTAATGCCTGGACGGACTTTCCTGAAACGATGTGTCTATTAAATTAGAATAATGAAAAATTGTAATATGAAAATAATGAATTTTAAAAAATGAAAACGCGAGAACAAACAAATCAGAAAAGCAAATCAAAAACATTGAAATTAAAATAAAAATTATTGCACAGATAAAAAGTAACATCAAAAATCTAAATATAAAGTATGTATAAAACTCCAAAGTTCGAACGGATAAATTATTTTAAAATAGCGAAAAAGTTGCATAAAATTAAAAATAATACATTAATTTTTGTCAATACATTAATTTTTGTCAATTTTTGTCAAATAAAAAAATAAATAAATTAATTATTTAAATAAAAACTAAACATGAATAACATTGTATGGGTAAAAATGTATTAGAAAAAATTAAGATTACATTTTTTTAAAAGAGCTACAAAAATACGTTAGAGGCCGTTAGTTATATATAAATGGACCGATTAAACAATAATGTAGAAAACATCATGTTGTTCATTTTTGAATCATTTAAATTGCAAAAAGTATATTAAGTCAAAGAAAGAATAAAAATAACTAGTTTTTAAATGAATTAAAACAATTTTTATTTTGCTGTTTAGGAAAATGTATTTTTTAATTGAATGTTCATTTCTATCTCCTCATTTATTTATATTTTATACGAGAAGGTAAAATATACGAGAAGGTATACGAGAAGGTAAAATTTATACGAGAAGGTTTACCTTCTTTATACGAGAAGGTAAAAGAAAATTTTAAAGAAAAAATGAATATTTTGTGAGAAGAGGCAAAAATATAAAAAAAAGGAAAGATGTGCAGTTGAGAAAAAATGTTATGACAAATGACCATTTAAAAATAAAAATAAATGTGTTTTTATTTTATTTTGTGTCTAAAAACACAACTCCCGTAATTTTGTAAGACATAAATACTGATATTCTAAAATAATCAGGAAATATATTTTAAAAATAATATAATTATACTTAAAAATTAATAAAATATCTGAAATGATAGAAAAAATGCTTAAACATTCAATTAAATTTTACACTCGACGCCTGACTTTAGATATTTGGCTTCAACATGAATTTATAAAACTATTTCAATCTCTCTCCGTCATGTCGAAATTTCGGAACAAGTAATTAAATAATATTATTTGAAACCTATTAGCTTTCATGTGAATTTATTCTAAATAATTTTAATATTAAAAGTAAATCAAATAAAATGCCAGTTTAATTTTAAAGTATAATTTAAATAAAAATGTAGATTTGTAAAATAATGTTTTACTGATAAATTGAATTCTGATAAAATGATATTCAATGTATTTTTGCAATAATTGTAGAATAATCAATTAAATATTATTTACTAATTAGTAATTTAATAGAATAAATTCAGCAATTCCCCTTTCACAACAAACAAAGATTCATACTCCATATTATGCAATTAATGACTGAAGTTTCAATGACTGACATTTATTTCCAATAAATGAATCTTATTAAAAGTTATTTGCTTAGTGACAAGGCAAAACTATTAAAGAGTCAAAGTCAATTAGTTCATGAAAATAAAGTTCTATAAATTTATCAATTATAGTACCATATTCTATTAAATAAATTGAACATTGAAGATTAAATCATTAAATAAATTAATTATGTAATTAATTAATGAAAAATCGATAAATATAAATGCAAAAGCAATTTTTAATAAAGAAATAACATACAATAATTAATTGAAATTGTTTATTTTTAATACAATCATCAAAAGTATTTTGAAAGTTATTAATTAAAATTGTTATTAAATTATCTAAAAAGGAAAATTAATTCATTAAATTAATTTCATTGAAAAACAATGACCAACTCATTAAGTGATTGATGATTTATGATCGATGATTTATTAATTAATTATTTTTGGTCCATTAGATTTTACGTTTACTTTTTATTATATTCACATATTTTTTATAATAATTATTTTTTCACATATTTTTACATGAACTAAACAATTACTAATTAAGTTATTTAAAAATGAACTAACGAATCAAAAGTAAAAATTTTTATAAAAAATAAATTGCTTATGCATATTATAGATATTATAATGATGGAACTCGCCAATATTGAAATTCGTATTTTATATATATGCCTAATTTCAATTTGCAAAATAAATTAAATCAAAATTTTGGGTATACTAAAATCAATATAATCAACAATCAATAAATTTTTTAAACTTACAATTTTTATAATGTTTGATAGTAATTTAAGACAAAATTTGATTTAAATTTATTTTTTTTGAAATATGATATTATTCGAAAGAAATAAAAATTATAGCATTTTTTATAAAATTTTTTGTGCGTAATTTTTTAACAATATATACTGCAAATTTTTTTGAGATAGATAATTTTGAAAATTGGTACTCCTATTATGTAAAAGTAAAATAAATTTAAAAAATTAAAAGAATTTTAATTTTAATTAGAGTTAAAATTATTAATAATTTTAATTATTATTATATCTATCTATATTATTTATCGATTATTATATCTATCTATTATTCTTCATGATTAATTTTTTATATTTAATGCTTTTAAATCATCATATTACATAAGAGACTATGTTGATAATAATTTTTACATTAGCTTTCATCGGGTCATATAGCAATAGCTTGATTAAACAAAACTATCTCGTTTTCGTCACAAAATTTTTAATTATCTATATAACAAAAAAATATTTTTAATCAAATTGTTTACATAAATAATGACATCTATCATTGAAAATTTTTTATGAATTTTTAAAATTAAACTATAAAAGCTCTTCATGTCAACTAAATATTTTATATTAAAGATAACAATAAAATTTGTGTATCTGTTTCAAAAAAATTTATTAGATTTTGGACAAACGTCATCAACGTTTTATGTACAAATAAACCAGAGAATTTCAATTTAGTGCCACCGATTGACACATTTAAGCGTTGATATCAACAAAGTTATTTCTCCTGATTGAAGAAAGGATCATGATTTTGTGTAATAAAAAATTATTGTCGTAAATTCATTAATAAACGTCATGCCGTGAGTCTAATCAATCCTATAAATTTTTAACGATCCTGACATTTGAGTTTATTGTTTCTTTCTTTCGCTTCTATACTTTTATTTTTTTATTTTTATGCGTTTCTTGATCCCAACATTATTAATTTCTAACCTATTATTTTCAAATTGTATCTAAATATTTTCGTTTATTAAAGAAACATTAAAAAGATTGATTTATGGCCAACTTAATAAGTAAAACTATGTTTATAATTTACCATTTAATATATTTGACGAAAACTTCTAAAATTTTTGACGTAGATACTTAATCAAACATATGATTGTTAAATAAATTTGATCTTTCTAGATTATCATTTGAACATTTTGTTTTTGCCAAACATAAAATTACCATATATATTTCCATGTCAATCAGTAGAATATCTCAAAATTGCAACCAGAAAATTATATTTTTTAAATCATAAAATTCAAGTCAAAATACTCTATTTATTGTAATTGCTATTATTTTTATATAATCATCATTTCCATGATTTTTTAAATCTTAAACTACTAGTGCACTATAAAAATATGAAGAAAAATTTCGTATTAATTATTTTTAATTGTTGTTCAGTTTATTTTTAATAAATATATTTTTTTTAATTTTTAGATATTTATTATAACATTCAATTGCTGAAGAAGTTTTTTGGGCTAAAGTGCACTTTAGTAACGTGATCTAAAAATCGATGATTTATATGTCATTCGAAAGAGCTCGGCGAGCTGAGTCGAATGACACCAAAATTTTCCGCGGACTCAACTATGGGCCGAGATATGGGTCCCCGAAAATCGAAAAACCATAGGGGGAAGTAAGCTGTTTTTGGAGGTGAAAAAATCGAATATGCAAATAATAGCTCATTCGAAAGAGCTCATCGAGCTGAGTCGAATGACACCAAAATCAACGAAATCTGCCTTGATTTAACAAAGTTATGACCGTTTGTTTTTACCCCTTCCACAAGGTCTACGCGGAAAAAGTTTTTGCCGCTGCGGAGGAAGCCGGGCATGTCGAGCGGAACGACGGCCGCCGCTTCGCTACGGTCGCCGCGAGCGAAGCGAGCACGACCGCAGCGAAGCACGGCCATCGTGTAGCGAAGACCAATTTTCTCAAAAATCATCCAATCGAGCTGAATTTGGTGTCATTCGACTCAGCTCGGCGAGCTCTTTCGAATGAGCTATTATTTGTAAAATCGAATTTTTCACCCCAAAAATGAGTCTACTCCCCCCTATGGTTTTTGACCATTTCGAGCCCTATATCTCGGCTCAGAATTTTTTCCGCGGAAAAATTTTGGTGTCATTCGACTCAGCTCGCCGAGCTCTTTCGAATGACATATAATTCATCGATTTTTAGATCACGTTACTAAAGTGCAATTAGGCCGTTTTTTGCAATGAACCTATTTCATTTATTTGATTGTAGATCATCGTCATGAAAAAATCTTATGGTTGTGCATCCAAAAAAGGAGGAAAATGGAAAAACCACCCCTGAATATGTAAAACCCATAGGGGCAAAAAAACCATTGGGTCGAGAGTTTATACATAGCTCATTCGAAAGAGCTAGTTTAGCTGAGCCGAACGACACAAAAATCAACGTGATTGGACATGATTTGACAGAATTATGACTTAAGTCGCCGACTCAGAAAGGTCTACTTCATGTCATAACTTTGTCAAATCTGGTCCAATCACGTCGATTTTTGTGTCTTTCGACTCAGCTCTAAGAGCTCTTTCGAAAAAGCTATCATTTGCATAAACTTTTTTGTTCCAAAAAATTTTCTTTATGATTTTTCAATTTTCAGGGGTCTGTATCTTGGCCAAATTAATTAGGATTTTTTTATTTTGGTGTCATTCTAATAAGCTCGTTTTGCTTTACATTCTTCTGAAGACTGAACATTTTTAATACCTTGAGAAAGAAAAAGTGGTACGAAATTCAAAATTACCCAATTAAATAAAAATTTCAATTACCAAATTAAAATTACTAAAAATTTCTTAAATAATTCATTCTTCAATTACATGTGATTGAGCAATTTTTGAAAATTGACCTGTCTCTTTACTATTTTCCTTGCAAGTTCTTTCTTGAATTTTTATTTAAAGTTTTATTGAGAAATATAAATTTTTACATTTAAACATGATTGTTTTCTAAGTTTTTTCATCGTTTTCGAAGATTTAACCACAAGCATCTCACGT